CACCTACCTTGGATAAGCATGCTGGATTTGGGTCGCTGAACTGTGCTCTGTTGAGCGCTTGGTAAGTGGACATGAGAATAAATCGATGGAATTTCTAGGCTGCGCTAATCTGGACATTGCATCTCTGGTCTCCAGTGTGGATTTCGTGTGATCTCTCAATGTGTGTGTGTGCTCAAGGTAACGAGCAGTGTGGCTCAGTGCACCATGCTTGCTGGAAAAAAATAAAATATTCTAAATTTCTAAAAACCTTTTTTTTTCTTCTTTTTTTCTTTCTTCAGAAAACCTTACGTGGAACCGTGTTTTGTTTGTTTGCTGAAAACGATGGACGTTGTTGAATAATGAATGTACGGTTGGTTCGCAGTTTTCAGACGCACAAACGAGTACTTCTACAAGGACAGGATTGGGGTTTCACGAGGGCCGGCGCACGTGATGCACCTGAGAACAGCATGGGCTTTAGGGCTCATTGATAAAAACACCTTCGTCTGGACACATGACATGGATGAGTGGGCGCCGATCGGGATGGTGATTGGCCTGGAAAAGGTCATAGCTCCTTGGGATGGTATGTATATGTATTTATGTATGTACGTATGTATGTCTACATGCATGATTGTATGCACGTGTGTATGTGTGTATGTATGTCTATATGCGTGATTGTATGTATGTATGTATGTTGTTTCTCGGCTTCTTCATGCTTTCGAGGGGGAAAGAAGGGGGGAAGGGGGGGGGGGGGGGGGGGGGTTTGGGGGGGGAGATGTATACTGATTTTGCCACTAATGCCTTTATTAAAGTTTGTTTTGAGAATGTAAAAAAAGATAAAAATTGTCTGATGGCTGGCTCTAGAATTGTTTCAAAAGTGCTGCTGAAATGCTGTGATTTGCAGAAATGCCCACCATAAAAGTGTGCAGGTTGCGAACTCTGTGAGTACAAACGCACCTCTAAGTCGGAGGAACCTCTTGGCAGTGTCTTTTACACCAGTTTTTCTGTTTTGGAGCCTAGACTTTACTCCCATGCCTCTACTTCTTCCAAATGCTTTGCCCTGACCACTGCTGCATCATCTGCCGTGCTTGTCCATATTCGTGTGTGTATGCA